TGTTTTATACAATCTCTTTTGTTGTTTAAAAAAATATCAGCCTATTTTATTATGAATGTTTCTTGTTAAAAATATTTTTTTAACGTTTAAGTCCACACATCTTATGCTTTGTGGTATTCTGCACTTTAAAGATTCATCTTGGTGGTCACTTTTTAAACACCACAATGTACTAAATAAATGTATTCTTTTTTACATTTCTTTAATATTTTGTTCTATTCAGCTACACAAGCATCCTCTTTAAACTACTAAGAATTGTACTATAAATGTGACTTTACCCGATTCTTATGTACACCTTAGTAATTTATTGATATGCCGCACAATGTCCTCCTTTTTGGTTCAATAGAAATGGCCACCCTAAGTTTGAATCTATTTTGAAGTGAGAAAATTCACCTGAAAACTTCATCTGTGCAGTCAGTTCATCCAGATTACCATCCTGCCTTCCATAATCCAAACTGCAGGCACCCGGATAATAAAAGCGAACATGTTTTGCTCAGTGCTGCATCAGCGCTCCGTCTGTCTCCCTGCCTGCAGCTGCTCCTGTTGCTCTAGATACGCTGCAGACAGCATGCACATGCATGTGTTTTAAAGGCGTCGTTTCGAGGGGTTCGAAGGGAGAGGCATGGTCGCGTATCTTCAAAAATATAGCTTGCACCACAGTGGAACGATTTAAACTAGCACACAGTGGCTGTTGTAAAACCTAAAACACAGAGGTTTCCAACTTTAGGCTACATCAAGGGTTTAGAATTTAAGCCTGAGTTTGTTAAACCTGCTTTGTGACTCCGGCATCCCACAATCAGATCACAGAGACAATATGGAGGATAAACTTCCATTTTCATGGATTAAAATTTTACATAAGGACACCACAAAATCAAATATAAAATCTTCCAACTAGAATGGGATAAAAAGTAATACAAACAAAAACCCCAAAAGATCCTTGCATTAAATGTATTTAATCTTACTGTTCAAGAAAACGTTCGTTAGGCCCCAAACTTCATCTGATCGTCAGCAAAATTAAACCCTCATCTGTTCTGGTTAAAATTAACCTTAACAGAATTTAATAAAATGTGTTTTCTAAGACAACTGCACCTTATATATTTAGATTGTTAAAAAAAAAAAAAAAAAAAAAAAAAAGAAAGTCATTTTCTTCAAGATCTTCTGCTTATTAGGGGATGGGAAATTTGGTGCAATTCAATTTTTAACCTGCAGTTTGGTGGAAACTTTCTGTTTGATTCTGCTATTCTTAGATGTTTATCAGAACAACTCTGCATTTTTCAGTCGTGATGCTGACATGCATCGCTGTGTTTTTCTCATCCATTAAAATAAACCGCAAATTTCTACATTTTTGTGTAAATGAGACTGGTTTTCACATGCAGGCAGAGCTACAGAGTCAAGGTCAAGAGGTCAGACAGTTTGACACAGAATGACTTGAGAGTTTGAAGGTCAAAATACTGAGCATTCATCCACTGAGCCTAAGACCAGCTACATGTGTTTTTCTATTAATGCACATACTAATGTGGAAGAAAATATGTCAAAATTAGATTCAACCTCTCATGTAGACAGAGCTGATGCTGAAGTCAGAGAAACAGGACTACACATTTTTCTTACATGGAAAAATGCTTTTGATGCTTGTCTTTTTTAAACTAAATCTCAGTTAAAAACCAAGATTAGAAAAGGAAATAAACCAAAAATAAGGGAAAAAAACGCAACATTTTAGAACATAAAGACAAAAAGAATTAAAACATAAACACTTAAAAAACTAAAAATCTAACATCTGATGATCATGACAGCGACTTCCTCTTTTAAAGAAACTAAACATGAAGGGTGGAGCTGTCTTCTGCTCTAAGCTGGTGTTGATTCTTGTGAAAAGTTAACTGGTAGCTCAGGGTTTGGTCTGTCTCTGAGTGTGATGGCAGCCCTGTCTGAGAACATGTTGACCGTCAGCATGTTACTGAATGTCTTCTTCTTCTCAGGTGAGCTGTTTATTATCTCAATTTCATTCGTAGACATTACTGGATCCATTTCTAGTCTGAAATATTGGATCCTGATCTTGTTTAAAGGCTCTTTGTGTAACAAGCTGCAGCTCAGTTGGAGTTTATTGATCAGGAAGTTTATCTTTACGACCATTTTGATCCACATTGTGTTCATCTCTATTCTGTGTTTATAGGAGTTCAGACTTGTAAACCAGACCTCAACATTACTGCACCAGAGGAGATGGAAGCTCTGAGTGGATCCTGTTTGCTAATCCCATGTAGCTTTAGAGAGAAACAAGGACAAACCATTGATGTCAAGAAGAAAACATTTGGAGTTTGGATAAAAAGTAATCCTGTGTTTAAAGATAAGAAATTTAACGTGATCTACAACAGCAGAAAGCCAAGGAACAGCTATAACATGAACATTACTGGAAACCTGAGAGAGAGGAACTGCACCACTGTGTTTTTTAATGTAAACTCAGGTCAAACAGACAAATACTTCTTCAGGATTGAGAACAGGCAGTTCAAAGCAACAGCTTCCTGTCATCCTGTTAATATAACAGTTAGAGGTGAGAGCCTTTTATTTTAATTTATCTCTAATGTTAATGTTGAGGAGAGAAAATGAATTCAGATGCATTTCTGCTCCACATGTGTTTAAAGTAGAGATTTTCTGGATCTCACTGTGTAAAATGTGTGTATGATGTGAAAGCACAGATTCAGCTTGGAGCCCCAGGATTGAAATCTCAGGTGATGTGAAGGAGAAGGACTCTGTCACCATAACGTGCTCAGCTCTCACTCCCTGTCCACAATCACCTCCTGAACTCACCTGGAATCTCCAACCAGACTCTCCCAGACAGATAGAGGAGAACACAGATGG